TTAGAACAAAATGTAATATGATGATCAATTTATATGTAATGTGATACAAATTTTTATATTTTATGTCTCTTTAAACATTAAAAATGCATATTATTCCAATTTTAGATTGTTGATCTTTTTTGAAAAAGAAAGTTTTATATGAATATTTTGATAATTTATTATATGTTTATATTCAAAAAATTAGATTATCATATAGTTAAGCATATTCATCTTATATAAAATCATAAAAAAAATATTTTTGACAAAAGGTTTGGAGGGGCATTTTGCTAGTCCATGATCCAAATAAGCTTTTTAAGCATTTTTTTATTATTAAATAATATTTTTAACATTAAATAATAAATATTATTAAATTTAACAAAAACTAACGCTATATCTATCATTTTAAACAATTTGTTTTTATTCGATATTTAACAATTCACAATTCAAATAATCAAATGATTATCATTAAATTTTTCGTTAAATAGCATACGCGATTTTTTATTCATAATTTTTTTCATGTTATTTAACTTTTGTTTAATAGGCTCACGTGCAAATAAAAGAACAAATTGTACAACTGTAACAAAAAAGATATGAAGACAATGGAATGCGCGTGAAAAAAATAGCAGTTATTTTATATTATGAAAATGGGTATAGTAAAAACAAGACTGCAGCTAAATTTAATATTGAAACAAAGCAATTTCGAGACTGGATATCTAAAAAACCACAACTTTTAAAAGCTCAACCAGGTGTAAAACATTTAAATAAAAGTTCACTTCCAAAATACCCTGCTTTAGAAACTGCTTTAGTTGAATGAATAAAAGAGAAAAGAAATAATCAACAAACAGTTTCATGAAGTATGATACAAATGAAAGACAAAGTATTTGCATAATAAAGTTAATGGCAATCCATATATCCTAATATTCAATCTTTTGCTTTTAGCAACAAGTGGGTAGATGGTTTAATGAGTCGCAATAATTTGAGTAATTGACGTCATATTACTATTGCACAATATTTACTAGATAATTTAAATGAAAAGCAGCAGAAATTTTTAGCATTTATTATGTATAGACATATTCAGCATGATTATCCTTTAACATTAATTGGTAATATGGATGAAACTCTAATAATATTTGATCTGCTAAGTAATACTACTATTGATAAAACAGGAACACAATCTGTTAGCATTCGTATAACAGGACATGAAAAATCAAATTTTATAGTAATATTAACTTGTATGGCTGATGGAACCAAACTTCCTCCTCTTGTAATTTTCAAACTTAAAAAAATTTTACGAGGTAATTTTTTACAAGAAGTTATTGTCTGAGCTAATTCAACTGGATGGATAAATGAAAATGAGATACTTTATTGGATTGAAAATGTTTGGATTAAGCATGTAAGACTTTCAAATGCACAATCATTACTAGTTTTGGACTCATTTTTTGCACATCTTGTTAATTCTATAAAAAGGCAAAAAATACTAATATTGCTATTATTCCTGAAGGACTAACATCTCACCTACAACCTTTAGATATTTCAGTAAATAAATCATTTAAAACAAAGGTAAGAAACTTAATATATATTGATTTTTAAAAAATAATTTAATAATCATTTTTATTTTTTTATCTTATTTTATAGATGCGACAAAATTATAACAATTAGATAGCTGATTCTGTTAAAGAATTAATACCTGCTTGTAATATCAAAAGACCTTCGTATGAAACTGTAGTAAATTGGATTAATAATTTATAGAATGCTATTGATGTTAATTTAATTCCAAGAGCTTTTAAATGTTGTGACATCTCTAATAAATGCGATGAAACTGAAGATGAATTAATCTTTGATTATATTCATCTTAGATAATCAAGTCAATCAAATGGTAGGATAGAAATAGATAATGTAAATCAAAGAGAAGGAAATGTTGATGATTATTATGATGTACAAGAAACAAATCATGCTAATATATAGGATGATTAGTGAATTTAATTTTGATTAAGTAATGTAAATGAAATTTTTTTTATAAACATTCAATAAATATAATAAATGAATATTTTGATTAATATCAGGATACTTTTCAAAAAAATCAGCATTTACAATTGAATAGTATCTTGATACTAATTAAGGGAGATACTTTTTTAGGGAAATACTATATGCAGTGCTATACGGTAACTAGATGAATCTAATAAGCTATAATTAATCAATTTTAAATCAGCCAATTTTAAGATAATTATGAACTATTAATTAAAATTATAATTTAATAAATTTTACTTAAAATAAAGAGTCTGAATTTTGAAATTCAATTATGATTATCTTGAGATTAGATAATTTAAATTGATGAATTTTAGTATGTTAGATCTATTTAGAGATAAATATATTAGAAATCAGCTGACATTTTTTATTTTTTTTATAGTGTTAGAAGTAGATCAGTCTATAAAGACTCAATTTTTCAAAGGAATTAATAGTTATAGAGTTATCTAAAATTTTTCATAAGTTAACGCTATAGCTACTATGAAATAACCAATTTATTATATCACTCTAGATTATATCACCTATATTGTTGACTAAGGTATTTTCCTAGAAATAACATCTTATATGCCTTTTAAAGTTTTTTGCATAGATAATCTTGTAGTCTAGATAACTGTTAATTTGGATAGAGGAATTACTTAAGTCATATAGAAACATTATATTTATATTTTATCCAACTAATGCTGAAATGATAAACTAGTAAGATAATTATTATATCCATTTTATCAAATAATCTAGAATTGAATTTGACCTTTAATTCTAGTAATAGCTTAATTAGATAGTGTTATGATATGTAATGCAGTCTATTATTATTATTATTGATCTAATCTACTAAATTTTAATCAATTATTTCCTTTATTTGTGTAAAAGGTTTCTGTAAGATAAGACATAAGATTGTATCTATTACAGATCAACCAGCGAAGCTTGAGTTTCTGTTAATGCTTAGCTTTATTTACATCTGCATATTTTAATACTATGTAGTATTTAGGTATAATCAATATTGATTGATGGATTAATTAATCAAATTTGTATGCATGTTAATACATATGCTTATTAGTTCAATAATAAAAAAAATCTTGTAAAAATCATCTAGTTTATATATCGCATGATACCTGAACTCAGTAATGTATATTTCCTATATCTCAAGTATTTGCTGTCCTAGCTATATGTTCTAACTATATGTTCTAACTATGTTCCATATATGTCCTAAATGTCTTATCTATCCCATTAATATCCTATCAGTGTCCTATCAGTGTCCTAACTATATCACATGACAACATTGCCTGAACTGATGGTCTATCATTATATAATGAAAATTTTAACTTATAGGAGACTCACAGTTTTATCATTGAGTCAGGATTTGCATTCCTTAAAATTAGCTAATTAATTAGAAGTAATAGTAGGCAAATCTAGCAATCAGATATTACAATATTCCTTTATAATAATAATTTACCTTTTATAATAAATAATAATTTACTATTTATTTATTAAAATTATGTTTACAATTATCTTAGTATTTAGTAATCCAATTTGAATGAAATTTTTTTATTTTATAGAGCTTATAGCTAATTTCATGAATAAACTATTAATAATTTTTCAATTATATTCAGTCACATTCAGTCATAATATTTATAGTAATTTTATTATAGAATATTTTTAATTGCATTCAGTTGCAATTTATTAGTGATCTATAAATTATGAAATTAGTTGTAAAAATGTTTATGAAGATTGAATTATTAGATGACAAAATATTTGTATAATTCTGTTATTTTTACATATATTAAAAGGTTTTTTACAATTATTTTAGTAATTAATAATCTAATTTAAATGAAAATTTTTTATTTGATAGAATTTAAAGTAATTTATAAAAAAATAGTTCATATATATTGGATTATTAGATGGAAAATATTTGCATAATTATATATATTAATATGGGTTATAATCTAAGAAAATTAGATTCTAAGAAATTTTTGACTAAAATTAATATCTTATTACATTTTAGTCTAAATGCAATAAAAATTAAAATGTAATTAAAATCTCAATTTTGATAAAAAATTTTTAGAACTTGATTTTCTTAGATCATAACCTATATATATTAATATAAATATATTTTTAACCAATCAGAATTTGATTAAGTAAGAAGTGTGAAAGATCAAGCTATTAATTAGTTATAATCATCTGATTTTTGACATGGCTCTTATAATAATTAAAATAAGCATTATATGATGATATCAATTTTGACAAGTTTGATCATTTCAGATATTTAAAATTAATTGATTTTAATTTTATGTATTTTTCATATAAATAGATAACTAAAATTTACATTTTTATATATATAATTATATTAACCAAAATTTTTATATTTAAGTGATTATAGAATAAATATCTTAATATAAATATATTTTATAATAGTTATACCATTTAATGATCCTGAAAGTATGATATAGAAGGGATCAAATATATATCTTTTACTTATTCAAATTTATTTAATTATACAAACTTTATAACCTTTTCAAAAGATTTGTTCTGAATAGTAGAAAAAGCTAATAAATTAGCTTTAAATAATACAATTAAATTAGTAAAAAAATTAGAAAATTAGAAATATTTATAGTATAAGTAACTTTATATAAGATTAATTATTATAGTGTTAAAAAACTATAAGTATATAACTTAATACTAAAATTACTAAATTAGATTAAATTGATATTTAAAAACAAATAATATAAGAAAGTTGCTAATAAAACTTGAAAATTTTAATAATAAAAAAAATATTTATTAATAAATTAATAAAAAATATATAAACCATATAAAAATTAATACTTATTTATTCAATTCAAAAATTTTATTTATAAGTTTGCTAGTAATAAAGATCAAATAATTATATTAAATTATAATTTACTTTGATAGACATAGCAATAAAAATAATTATCTTTAAATTATCTTTAAATCTAATGAGTATCTATCTGCAATTATGATTAATTATGATCTATTAAAACTAATCAACTTCCGGAATTAAGAGATTCAATAAAATTATCCAAATTTAGGTCTTCATACTGTGTATCGTCCCATAAATTTTCTAACCCTTCCAAAACATTTTTCGTAGCAGATATTTTCTTTCCTTTCGCAAAACCAGATCCTGTACCGCTTGTAGATGAATTTCCTCCTTTTTGATTTCTGTTGTTATGATCGGTAGTTACATTGAACAGATCAAGTATTTGTTCAGTGTCCATACTTTGTAGTCCAGAATTTTGTTGATTAACAATGGAATTTGCGATATTAAGTTTAAATTTCTGTAATCTATAATAATAGAATAATATTTGTTATTAAATATAAGGATTTCTCATAAAAAAAAGCTTCAATTCCTTACCCCATAATCTTTTCTTCCAATGTTCCTTTAGTAATTAGTCGATATACATTGACTACCTTCTTTTGCCCAATTCGGTGAGCACGATCCATAGCCTGCAAATCTTTCATTGGATTCCAGTCATGTTCAACAAAAATAACTGTATCGGCTCCTGTTAAATTGAGCCCAAGCCCGCCAACGTGTGTAGTAAGTAATAGCACATCAATTGATGGATCTTTGTTAAATTGTTGTACAATTCCGTGACGTTTATTGGCATCCACTGAACCATCGAGTCGCATATATGTGACCGAAGGCATTATTGGCTTAAATAAATCATTTTCAATAATGTCAAGCATCGTCTTAAGCTGACAGAAGATAAGTGCTCGATGTTGACTGACTGCACCGGCACCCAAAGTACCTTCTTCAGATTCTGTAGACGCTCCTATACCACAATCAAGTAATAGTTGCCTATATATGTGCGATCACAAATTATAAATAAACAATTATGCTAAAAATGATGTTATAAATGAAAATAAATGACAGTTACTTCAAAGCTAGCAATTTTGGAGCATTTTCCAAATCATGCAACGATGATCTACTAGACTTGAGTTTGTCCATGACAACGCGGTATTGTGGATGTTTATCATTCATTACTAATAAAGGATGATTGCATAACTTGCGCAAATACTGTAATGCTTGAAATATATGTGTAGCTTTCTTTTCGCCTTCTTCTTCAATAGGTTCCTCCGATCCAAGTTCACTTTCAACACTGCTTTTAGCTTGTGATTTAGCAAATTGTTCATAAAGTTGTTTCTATTCATTAAAGTAATAATATAGCACTCATTAGTGTTAAATATTCACATAAAAGGATAACCGCATAAAGTCCATACCTGTAAATCACTAAGTTCACAATAATAATCTTGTATGATTTTCGGAGGTAAGTCGTTCAAAACATCCTCCTTTAAGCGCCTCAGCAAGAATGGAAGTACCTGTTTATGTAAGGCTTCAAGTGCCAAAGCACCTAACAGAAGGAATGTTGTTAGAATAATGCATATATAAATTTCTAGAAAAAATCATGTATTTATAAGAACGCTATGTAACGAACCAGCTTCCTGTTCTCTTGAGGAACTTTTACTATCTCTGCTTGACAGTATAGGCTTACCAAAACGTTCATTAAATTGTTTTTCGGTACCTAAAAATCCGGGCATTAAGAAATCGAAAAGTGACCATAATTCTAGTACATTATTCTAATTAAAAGGAGAAAATAATAAAATAAAAGTCAATAATTTTCTTTAAATTAAATAAACTTCAGATTCACTAACATTATTACTAACCTGTATTGGAGTGCCAGACAATATCAATCGATGATTGGCCCTTACAGATTTGACCGCTTTTGTTATCTTTGTTTTACCATTCTTGATAACGTGGCCTTCATCTAGGATACAATAATTCCAATTTATATTGGCCAAATCATCAATATCGTTGCGAACTATATCATATGACATAATAATAACATCGGAATTGTTGATTTTCGGTCGAAGTCTATAATAATACAAATTAAAATTATCAATATTAAAAAATAAACGTATAACCATAATAATAGAGAATATTATACCTGTCTCGATCTTTTGGATTACCAGAATACAGAAGTGGCTTTAATGTATCTGTATAATTCAATATTTCATGATACCAATGTCCTGTTAAAGTTGGGGGGCAAACAACTAAAGATGGGCAAGGGGCACAATCTGGAGACTTTGTTTGACTATATTTCTCAGAACGAGAATAATGGTCGCTCGCCAAAATACAAATGGATTGAAGAGTTTTACCTAGACCCATATCTATAAAATATGAATAAACAATAATAAAGTAACAAGATTTTTTAATTCTTATTATAATTAATATGTAAGATTGATTTAAGAGATATACATCAAATATTACCATCACATAATATGCCATGTAATTGATATTTGTTCAAAAAGGCCAACCAATTGACGCCTTCTTGCTGGTATTTCCTTAATTCAGCTTTGATATTTATTGGAATTTCATAAGGGTCCAATTTATTACTATCAAGAAGTTGTGAAAGGAATCTGCGTTCATCATCACGGTGCTTTAATAATTCAGTTGATAGTCCAGGTGGGTCAGGTATACCAGCCTATATAAAAATATTTAAACGTTAAAAGAAAAGAATTTTTATAAAATACCAAAGCAATGTCAGGAATTCTATCAAAGTTCCTATATACCTCTAAAGGAACTAATTTGATCAACATAGCAAAACAATTCGTGCTAACTAATCGAACGTTTTCATCTACATCACTCATTCTACCCAAAATTGGAACAATTAAGAAAATAACGTATGGCAGAATTTTTGCATCCATAGTTTGTACGACATCTATAAATATATTAAATTGAGGTAAATACATGCAATTTTTTTTTACAAAACTTTAATTACGATATGTTATATGACATACGATAAATTAACTCGGCTGCTCCTTGACGATGTATTACGTTTTGTGAATCACCCAATAAAGGTATTACTTGATGGATTATTATTTGCATACTTGGTATTGTGATTACGCTTGCTATAGTAGCGAAACATCTTGCAGCCATGAACCGAATTACAGAATATTGACATTGAATAGCTTTGACAATATGAGGTAGCAATTCCGTAATCTGCAAGGTGCAATTAAAACGCATTGTTAAACTTTTTATAAATCACGGTTCAAGTTAAATGAAATGATGTGATGCATTAATAAGTACCTTTGAATATAAATTTTCATGAACCACAGGAACTAATGATTGAATTATTTGAAGAGAATCAATAACGTCTTGTCCTATACTGTTATTTGTTTTAAGTGACATGCCTATATTATCATCATCGTCTATATTTCATTTTAAATAAATATAACGATAAAGTTAATATATTACTAAAGAATGATTTGTTAATAAAATTAAAGGTATATACCATGACTAAATACGTTGTCTAATGATGAACACATGCAGGTCCATAATTTTGGCACCACTTCAAATAACCTTTGACCAAACTGCGTAGCAAACTCTCTAAGTGCTGTTTCAGCACCACGCCTTATTAATCTCTGTGATTTAAGCTTCTCGTCCTCTCCTGACGTATCGCCATTTGAAGAAGTCTTGTCTGGTTCTTTAGCTTTAAGTAATGATAGAATACCTTCCTTTTTGTGATTGTTCTGTATATCAGGAGTAGTAGTCGGATCAGAACAGAGGAAGGTACACAGATTTTTAACAATTTTATCGTTGGGATTAACTCTAACTGAACTATCTGCTGCTGCTGAACAAAGAGATACAAGGCTGGCTAACGTAGCCGCAGAACGTTGTTGTAACCCCAAATTCTCTTCAGACTTAATAGAATTCATTATAGATCTTATTATTGGATTCAATTTTGGAGGTAAAACTCGTAATGCTACAACAGCACCTGCAATAGCAGCAAATACTATAATGTCATTTTTTTGTTTTGTAGACTCATAATAACCAATTGATGCTAGCACACGACGCTGGCGATCCTGTAATTGCGACTGTCTTTCTTCTGGTTGGACTTGCGCAGACCTTCTACTTCTCCCGGAAACTTGAGCAGATAAATTATTAAATGTTGTTGTCGCAATCTCTGCCGCCATTTCAACACTAAATAATTGTGATGCATCTAACTGTACTCCTTCACCAAGAACATGTATCGGTAAAGCTGGTACAGTAGCTGAATTGATCCTCCCCACGGAAACAAAAGTGTTCAGCAAAGCTTGGCATTCGCCTCTAATACGGCGTAATATAGTAACAAGCTCTGAATAGAAGGTTGGTGGATCGGATTCAAGCATTTGAACCATAAATTCAGAGATATTCAAAGCAAATGACGAAGTCTCAACCAATGAATTTTGAAAGCTTTGAACGCTATGATCTAAAACTGATCTGGACCATTCCTCAATAATGACTGCAGAAAGTTGTTTATTTGAAGCCCATGTAGATGAAAGACATGCCATAAGGATTTCCTTAAATGTTGCTTCCAATGACTAATATATACAAATGAATGATATAATAAATGAGTATTTATGAGATAAACAAAGCAAAGTTTTGCTAGAACTGCTCATTTTACAATTCATCCAATGAAATAAAAGATACGATTTACATACTTCATGTGGCCATCTACTCATAAGCATGCCCAATCCTTTAGAAGCAGAAACTCTGCCTCTTAGCACTGTATCTACACTAACTAACGCAAAATCCTGTTGTAACATTCCAGCATCAATATTATGTCCAACTGATTCATCCTCATTGCCGTTACTTGCTTGGTTACGACCTTGCCCACGCCGACGTGAAGTCGATGTAGTGGTGGTTGACATTGTCGTAGAAATTATATCCATTGGGATTGTTCCTTCGGGAACGTAAAATAACCGTCGATCAATTGGAGTTCCTAGAGGTGTCATAATTATCGTGAACCAAGTTCGTATATATGGAGACGTAAATTGAATGAGTTGGTTTTGAGACATCAATTCTGACCAAACTTGGACGGATAGATCGAGGACCTCCTATATGTGATTAAAATATGCATTGAAGTTTTTTTTAATAATTGCAAATACTTACTTATTAAATCTTTACTCGTACCTTTTTTTCCTCGACTATCATATTCTGAAGCACAAGCCTAAAAGTACGATCATCAACCCATTCTTCTGCACTATTCATACCCAAAAAAGTTAAAAGAGTGTTAAGGACTGCTGAGCGAACAGAAGTAATGGTATGCCGAAAAAATGGATATAGACGCGGAATTAATGTCGTTAAAGAATGACTATAAATTTAAAGATTTTTTTTAAACCAAATAATTTAAACAACAGATTTACTATTATAGCATATATATAATTATACCTTGGATCTGATGCAGCAGCATGGCGCATATATTCCAACACACTTGGAAATGAAAATAATTTAGCTTAAGAAAGAATAAATTTTTGTTAATATATATAAATTTTTTTTTAAAAAAATAAAAATAAAATATAATAATAATAAGTTTACTTAATTAATTTTACCTAAGAAATCCATCACACTTGCTGTGGATGCAGTTAAATCATCCTTTAAATCCTTCAGACAATCCCACAAAACTGAAACTATTTCAGGTATCTTGTTGTATGAAAGACTAACAAAAGAATCAGCAATTGGAATTAAGATTGACGCAGCTACTGCACGAACATCATCATCACTATCTTTTAATCTACAATATTGAAAAGGTTACGAGATATAAATCATAAGACTCGGTTCCTAACAAAGATCTATCCATGCCTTGATAAGAAGCCCATGAAGCATATATTAAACATGGCATACCCTAAAATAACAGCACCTACGGTACCATCCAACATCATATTCACCAAGTCCTTACGGACTGCAACAGCATATTTCAAACCTAACATTCCAGCATGTCGAACCTCCCATATTGATGTCTTACCATCAAGTATATCTGTTTGATAAATCATTCTCAATAATACCAAATGTACATTTTCTACACCCTGAGGTGACATATAATGTAAAAGAGCTCCCAAAGTCTGCGAACACGTTTCACGTACAGGTGCAACAACCTTTATAGAGAGATTAGTTAAGAATACCGTTGCTATTATGTTATTCTTAAACTTAAACATATATCTTACCTGGTCAGATACAAAATCACCGAATCTATCTAAAGCAAAAACACATAGCAACCGAATTGCTATATCGTCCAACCATTTATTATGGCGGGCTTCATTTTCTGTTTTAGTTAATCCCACTGGTTTAAATTAAATAGTATTGAATTAAATTATTCACTAAATTATATATAAAATATCATATCTCTTCGATTAAACATACCAGCTCTACCTGCACCGTGTCCATGTACTTTTAATATTTCTCTCAGTCCAATACATGCACCGTGTCTAACTTCCCAACATGAACTAAAAATATTTATATTTGTGTGAAAAATACAAATCTAAAGCTAAGCAATTGATGAATAAATATTAAATGTTGTAAATTAACTTACTTAAACAAAGACACACATAATGATTCACACACTTTTTCAAAGGGCCATTCATTGGACAGTTCTTCAGATATATTAGAAGCAATGTCTTTTTTAGCCTCAACCACAATCTTGCTAGAACAGGGTTGTGGAGTAAAATTAAAGTAACCATCATTTTGTGTAGAATCAGGTAATCCTATTTTCAAATACGCAGTTGCTTTGTTAACGTTATTGTTAACATTTACCGGAGATTGTGAAATAATAATTACCATCAGGTTCAGCTTTTACGTTAGATGGTGAAATAGGGGCTACAAGTGGTGTTGTAGCTTCAGCGCCTGCTCTTCTTCCACTCATTTCCACTACACGCATTCTGAAAAAAATACGGATTTAATGAAACTAATATTCAACACATAAGAAATATTTCCTTATTGGACATACTTTTCTTTCCCTTTGTTTTTAGCATCGTTTTTTGCTTTTCTCTTTAATCTATTTCTTTCTCGTGCACTTAACCCAGACGTTTCTTCTGAAGGTAATCCAGGAGAGCGAGGTTGAGGAGGTTGAGGATGTTGGAGAAGTTGGGGTTGGGCTACAAACTCTGTATTTTGTAGTTGTGTGGTTTGTGGTGCTGAAGCTCCACTTATATCCACATCATCCAACAAATCAACTACATAATCGAATTAATTTCGAGTTAATCAATAATGATTTAATTTTGAAAATACTATTATCTTTTAACTCACCATCCATGAATTCGCTACCTAACCCTAATCGTTCTTTAAGGTTTTTATGTTGAAGCGCCAATCGTTGTGCGGGATCTAGATCACTTAAGTCAAGATCATATTCCTAACACCATATTTTTCATTCGTTAAAGCCACGTGTTCATACTTGCAGAAGAATAATATTTACTCGTCATACCTTGCCAGCTGAACCCAACAAAGTTTTCCCTTTCTGCAATACACTTGCAATATCAAATGTTTCAAATGAATATTTATTATCATTTGTTTTGTTTACAGAATATGGTTCGTTTTCTGATTTAATAACTATAGTTTGGTTTTAAAAGATCATGTCAAAAAAAAAAGAATCGTAGAGAACTATTATATGAAATACAAATATAAATTAACTATACTAATAAAAGAAAAAGAGCTAGCATACTTTCAGGAGGGTCCCATTGCGGTACATTTTTAGCAATGGCCTCGATCGCTTGTCCAGCGGCAATTCGAGTGTCCCATTCTTTATTGCTCAAATGTACGATAACCTGATAAAATGTACGCGCCTTTCAGTAATTACGAATCTTATTTGAAATAATGATTGATCAAGAGTAAAAAAAAAATTAAATTAAAAAATAAAAATGGACCCTTGATAACAGGTTATGTAGCTCTCCAGGGTGTTGCTTTTGGATCTCTCCCAACTGTTGAGCAGCCGTTGCACGTACAGCGGGCGTAGATCCTGTGTCCAGAAGAAGGACCAAACGGTCCAATCTGCATAATAAATTTTAGCATTTCGAAAAAGATTTAGAAGAAAAAATTGAAAAATTGATACTTTTTCGTATATGGTGATGAACTTTACCGTGTCGACATTTTTAGCCAATACTGTATACAGGGGCTGATGAATTACGGTATGTTTACGCGGTGCAGAAATTGAAGCAATAGACGGGATTTGAGATCTTATATATATTGTTTAATGATCAACCATAGTATAATTTATGAAACCGCAGTATGTTGTTACACATATGATACGACCGTATTGTATCACAATAATAACATTATAGAATATTCATTGATATAAATTTAAAATATTCATTATTTCATTTTTTTTTTGTGTGTATTTTTTGTAACTAAATTTAGAAAAATCTCATTTCAATATTTACATTTATATTAGAATTTTTAAATAATACTTATTTTTATTAATTAATTTAATTAAAACTTTAATAATATATTGTGATATAATTTTATTTATAAATTATTAGTAAAAAGTATAATTAAAATAATATATAAATTAAATATTTTTATAATTAATTTTTATATTACTAATAATTCAATTAAATAAAATTTTAAAATTATAAAATATCAAAATTTGAAATTATTAATTAATATAAATTATATCCTGATATAAAATATAAAAATATAATACTAATATTATCCTTTAGATATAAAATTTAAAAAAAAAGTATTAAAATATTAAATATTAATTTTAGTAATAATATTATTATTATATAAAATTAATAGTTTAATATATATTTTATCAACTTTATTAACAAAGATTTTAAGCTTTTTAAAAGAATTTTAAAAGAATTAATTTATGTATTAATTGAATCAGTTTAATTAATTAAAGTCATAAAATTTCTTTATATATTATAAAAATTATAAAAATAAAAGTTTTTTTTTATTAGTAATTTTATAATATTCTATTATGATTAATATAATTAAAAGTAAATTCTAAAAAGTTTATCATAGATAAATTATAAATTATTTAATATAAAAATTACAAATTTTTAATTTTTAAGTAATCTTAAATTTAATTAAAAGATAAAACTTGCTATAATATATTATATATTTATAAAATTAATTTAAAAAATATTAATTATTTATAAAAGTAAATCAGAAAAAAATTTATAGTAAATAAACAGGTAAATTTGCTTGCAAGTTTCTATGATTTAAGGGATACTTATAATAAAAAAATTTTTTTAATGTAATTATTTAAATAATTTTATTTATTATAATTTTTTATAATATAATTTTTTATTATTAAAATTATATTAAAATTTATATAATTTTCCTATATATTTATATTTATTTTAATAATAAATAACTTAAATAATACTATAATAATATTTTTTAATAAATAAAATTAAATAATTTTAATATTTGTATATTATAAATTATTATATTAAATTAATTATATTATAAGTTAATCAATTATAAAATTATAAATTAAATAAAATATTAATTATAACATTGCATTTATTACTGTTATAATAATTGAATCTTAAATTTTTAAATTTGCAATATATGTAATATTGCAAATCATAATATTTTTTCAATTGATAATTGTATATAACATTTTTAGAATTAAATTTATTAAATGTTATATAATTTAATAGATAGCAATATAAATTAAAAATTATTAAAATCTTATGATATTTTACTATAATATTATCAATCTTTAGAAATTTATTAATAAATTGATATATTACTTATATTATTGAAGATAAAATATTAATAAAAATATAAAAATACAAATATTTAGTATTATAATTATACATAAAATTGAATTAATAAATTTCAAATACAATCAACTCTTCTTATAGTCACCTTCATTATCTTCATTATCTTCGTTATAATCATATTTACCTATATAATCATACCAGTCAATTGTCCTAAACATATATATATATAATTTACTCTATATAGTCACTTTCGTCTATAATCACTAGGGTGAAAAAGGTCGTGAACAGACTAACTTTATCTTATCAAGGTCTTGTAATTTATTTGGGACTGATATTAGGACCAAGTTAAAACCCCAGAAACTTTTAAGGTAGGTCATAGCTAAAAAATTTTTTTGCATTACCAGTACCAAAAATTTTGCAATAGTCATAATTTGAAAATGCGTCAAAATGATAACCTTTTGACTAATGTCAGAGGTTAAAATTACACATTTTTAGTTATATCATAGATTCGATTTGCATCATTTATTCTAATTTTAGAGTCAATAATATGTATCACATGATAAATAAATGCAATACAATAATTTATAAATGCAATATGATATGCGTTAAGCTTAAGTTAGATTCTTGTTCTATATTCTTTTCGTCAACTTGTTTAAAATGGGTTAGAAATATATTTTAGAGCATTTAAAAAATCCAAACATTGCACATGTTCACAGTAGTATCATAGTTGAATGTATTTGTGAAAAATGAATAGTTTTATATAGAGACTATAAAGAAATAAACTTAGCAAAACATTTGCAAAATAGTTGCAATTTGAAAAATAAACAGCCCAGAATTACTAGTTTTTTTAATTATACTAGCAAATTGGATACATTTAATAAATTTGACGAACCTATTGAGTTGCCTGTGATAAAAAACCTTGTCAAGGTTTATCAGGTAGAAGTATCAACAATATATTAAACGAACACAAGTAAAAGTTGAGAGAACATAGCGGCGTGAAGTTATTGCTAAAGACCTATTTCCAATAATATTTGAATATCGTTTTAATTATTTATCCAAAGGTCAAAAATCAGAAATCAACCAACAGTTTTATGCAGAAGCAAAATGGATAATTGATCAGATTGGTAATTATATTTTGTAAAGCATTTATTAATAAGACATTTGAGTTTATTATAATAGAATTTTTTTAATAGCAATGTGTGTTTGATTTGTGAAATGTGAACGTTTTGCAAAACAGAATGTTTGCAATGCATGTTCAACATTAAGCAATAACAAGAAATTTTGAAATATTGTTACGTGTTTAATACCTACACCTGAAAACTGAAAGTTTATTCCAAAATACTATTTTAAAACAAATGCGCTTGTAAATCATCTTCAACATATTGATATACAAGAGTTACATCAATTATTAACTGACACATCTAAGAATTTAGATTCCAATTCCAATTCCAATTTTACATTTTAGCAAATGCTTGCAAATAAGGCAAACCAAGATGCATTTGATAAAAACCTGTTTTTAAAGGTCTTTGTCAAATAATGCTTCAAGTTTCTGAAGCATCGGAGGCAAATAAAGGCAAATAAAGTCTTCGCTACTCTATTGAATTTACAAATTTTCTTGTTATTCTTAGAAGTATATTTCTAAAATTATTGGAACTTTTTCGACAAAATCTTGAAGGGATGTCTTTATGAAGTATCAGGTATAAATGTTTTTATTAACTATTGTGTATATTTGAAGTATTTATTAATTTTAATACATACTTTATTCAGATATTTTCGAAATAATTCTGAAAAAAAATTAGTAAATCCAAATATGTACTATGAGAATGTTGCATGTTTCAAACGATTATTAGATACACTCAAATATAATAGTCTGATAGTTGCAATGACAGATAATACTAAACTGAAACCTGGTCTTCAGTATTCTGCACAGTTTAGTTATATTTTGAGGAAACCCAGGTAAATAATTATGATGACATTTCAGTAATTATTAATAATATAAAAGAAAAAAAGCTATTGCAAAAGATGTTAGGGCTTATTTGTTATAGGTAAAATATTTGATATAATATTTATTTTTAATTAATTATAATTATAATCGTTCAATAATTATTATTTAGATTCCACTTCCAAAATTTCCTCCAATAGTAATTGCTTTAATTCTACATACTGGTTCTGAAAAAAGCAAATGCTATTTCCATACTTCATCTTAAACTTCTTGCTGATATTGTTTCACAATTAAATCTTCACATAATATCTATTGGTTCTGATAGAACATCAGTTGAATTCCAAGCTCAAACAGCAGTTCAAAAGTCTTATACATTAGATCAACTCTCAGTTTATTATAAGAATATGGAATTGATTTTAATTGTCCTATTTTTCCAAATGTTGGGCCAGTTATTTATGTGCAAGATCTAAATCATGGAAAAAAAATAGCATGAAATATTTGTATGTCTAGTGCAAGATTATTAAGCTTTGGGGATTTGACAATATATTATAGATAATTATTTACTTTATATCAGCAACCAGAAAGTATTTTATATAGAAGGAATGTAATTAAACTTGACTGACAAGATGATGATGCGGCTTATCGTATATTTTGTACTCAGAATCTAAAACAACTTTTAGATAATAAACAATTATCTAATGATAATAAAGGTTTATTTGTATATTTATTTATTATGGGTAAGTTATTTTATTATAAATATTTTTTTTATACTTATATATTAAGTAATTAACATATAACTTTTATTATACATAGGTGAATTATTAGATAGCTATCTTAATCATGAAATTTCTTACTTTAAGAGAATTAAAATGGCTATGAGAGCTTATTTTTTTCTTTATCTATGGCGTTTTCATATTGAAACTATTTCTCAATTATATCCTAATTATATATCTCTAGCATATAATTTTTTAGCTACACAAAGTTTTAATATTTTACAAGTTTAGCAGAATCTCTTTTACTTTTAATTAAAGCTCATCGTGACTTTTATCCAACCTTTTCTTTTTACCTTAGAAACATGATATAGAATCATTGAACATTTTTTTGGAGTTGCAAGGCAATTACATAACGATTTTAAATATAGAGATATCTTAAACCTTATACCAAAAATTAATCATTATACCAAGTCAATCAAAGCGGAAGGTATTACTTTAAATAAAGAGAAAACCGTGTGTGAAGGTATGTTTATTTGTATTTATGCATATTTTTATTATTTTATAGTATTTATTAAAAATATTTACATTAT